GAACAATGCTGCATATCTAGCTAGTTTAGTGTTTACCTCACTAGGGGGTATATTAAAGATCTTTGATGCAGCTAAGAAGTTATAAGGAGCGGGTTTCAAATTCTCGAAAGCATCTACTGACCAAATTGCATCAAACCTGACATAAAGAAGGTTAACATTAAGTGAAAAATGAAAGTATATAATGTTACAAAGCTGCAAATTGCACTATACAACCAAGTATGCTGTGTATTCAACATTACGCAAGGCAACCTAGCATCCTAAACTCGACCCTAAACGAAATTGCACTATACAACAGCAACCCTTAGGCCTTGATCTTTACAGCAGGGTTATACCATATGATTCTTAAAGGCAACAGGAAGGAGATAACAACATTTTTCCTGTTAGATCAGTACAAGGTAAAAAAATGCAGATGAGATGGAAAACTTCACATCAAGACTGTCCGTTTACAAATTGCTAAACCACAACTAAAATGCACAATTACTTTGTTTATCAAATATAAAAGAGTTGTGTAGTAAGAAAAAGAAAAGCTAAAAGCTTTACCCATTCCCATGGAAGGCACAAAGTCTCCACTGTAACTTGGACCCCCCATTTGGGCGAATTACATCCACAGAACACAGCCGCCATTCTCAAAGGCTCCTCGCTATTGCACAACACTCCATCTATATCAAATAGCACCGCAGAGTACCTTCCCCCACTCTCCTGCCCTGCTTTCTTCGACATTCTTTTCCTCCACCTTTACACAGGCTTTCACCACCATTCTTCGCACAAAAGCCCCGCCGTTCGAAAGGTCCTCGGAATTAAGATGGGTTTCCGCGTTGAAAGCAAGAAAAGTTTTCTGTGGTGGGAATGAGATATAAAAGCTGGAGGCGAGAGATACTCCATGGCTGTGGCTAACCGATGTTCTGCTCCCTCTAGCTGGCGGGCTGGGAAGAATTTCAGTCTGTATATAAATTTATTTTTTCTTGACCAAATTACCCTCTCTCTAAAGCATGTAGAGCTGCGAAGTTAAGGGCAATTTTTTTTCTTGTTTTAATTTCAATTCTCAATCCTCAATTTATTGGTGAGGCTTTCAAATTTTGAAGTTTTTTTTTTTGAAATGAAAATACAATAATTTTGTTGCTACATAGTATTATAAAATTATAATATAATATATCATTATATAATAAGTAGTGATAAATGAACAATTTTTTTTATATAATTTTCACATATATTAAATAAATATATATATTTAATATAAAAAAATTTTAAATAAATAAAAAAATCAATCATTTAAATAACAAGTAAAATTATATAAAAAAATTATCTTTACATTATTTTTTTTAGAATTAAATTTTTTTATTTAAAAATATACTTTTGATATTATATTCATCTAATCATTTAATAATATCAGATAACATTGTTGTTTTTATTTTTTTACCCAAAAAACAAGAGTGACCACTCTTTTCTTGGCCCATAGACTACCCTAAATATTGGGCCATGGCTTTTGAGGCCAAAATCTCCTTGACAGCCCAATTAAATAAACTTTGTCACGACATAATACTTTGACTGGACCTCTGCCTCTTGAGATTTCAATGTCTTCTATAAAACGTATATAACGTGTGAATAATTTCTTATTTATCTTATACATATTACCATCCATAGATTTATGAAATTTTTTTCTTTTTCGGAGTTCATGTAACAATAAGATAACTCAACTTAATGTTGAACATGACTTTGAAATGTTGGTTTCCTCTTGATATCGATTATTATTTATAGATTTTGATATACTGATTAATGACATTAACATTCGGTCATCGAGCAATCAGAGACACGAACAATCTTTTTCTACCACATATGTAGTGCACCAAATGGATCACTAGATATCGCACTTACTTGTTGCATCGTACAATGCAAACATAATTACATTATTATGGAAAAAGAAAAAATACCTTGTAAATCTCATCCCCCATCCATTATCGGAAATGTTTGGAGATTTTTCTTGTCTACACTCGATCATATTCGAGAAACATTATCTATGAAACAGTCGATCATACCTACATATAATCTTCCAATGAGATCAGATAATGGTGATTATTTCACTAATATATAGTATTTTATTTTTTAAGTATCTGATCAAGTGTTTGTTTGACCTAACTTATAAATAAAATTTCATAGTTGAACTTTAAATTTAATAATTCAGTTAACAATAATTACCTTACTAATACATACTTGATCTTTTGAGTTTATAATTAATTAAGTATTAATTTGACCTAACTTCTAAATGAAGTTTGATCATTAAGCTTTTAATTGGATTTTTTTTTTGTGAGTTATTTCTGAAAGATTATTTTACATGAAATCATAATTCAGCATTTTTTTACAAAATCTCTATTTAAACAATATTACTACAGCTATACCAAACAGATTTTAAATTCAAAACTCTTTTCTCACTAATCATGATTAAGCACCGAATGATTTTTTGCCTTATATAAATCTACCCCCTTGAAACGAATATTCATTGAGCACTTTTAAAAGGTATGCCAAGAAACTAGCTAGTATAGTATTGCTTTAGATTATATATTGATAAGATTTATTTCCAGTACTAATGCAATTTTATTGTTTATTTTATCTTAACATAGATTAAATCATGAAGAAAACAGCAATTTCAGCTCTATTTCTCCTTGGATTTATGCTGTTTCATTATGAAGTTGATGCAAAAAGATTCATGTTGGGGGAGAAAACAAGTTTGCAGGCTGCATATGCAGAAGCAAAGATGAAACCAGATGATGCAACTGATGCTAATAACAAGCATACTGAACAGCCCACAAACTCGAGCACATCCGAGAAACCAGTACCTGATACAAAGAAAGGTAGCAACAATGAAGATGAAGCTGCAAACAATGGGTATGGAAGTTACGGTGAACCGTCTGGATCATCATCTCCTGAGAGTCACCGTTCCTACAATAATGATCATCAGCCTGCAGATGGTCAATAATTAACGAACTCATGTGTCGTTAATTTGATATATATCCAGGTAGCTACTAAGTAACCAAATCATGCGTGCGTTAATGCAGAGAGTACATGTACATATATATTTTTCAGTTTGTCATAATGGTTGTATGGCAAATATATCAAGATGGTCCAAGTGCAATATTGAGACATAATATTTCGAAATCATCTCTGAATTTATTAGAAGATCAATAGCAATTAATTATATAAATAGATAAATGGTCAGACATGACATATCCCATATGTGTGATCCAAAATTTCAAACTCTAATTCATGTTTAAATTAAGGTAATTAATTTCGATATTAAGTTGATTATATGTATATGATTATTCAATATGCATATCGAAGAACTTTCTATATATATATACAGAACAATTCCCCTGAGGTTAAATATTCTTAGTTATGCATTTAGAGCTTATAATTCAGTCGGAAAAAATTCTGCAGAAATGCGGCATTTCTTTTCTCCATTTCTATTCACATGCATGTTGTTCATTAGGTTTTCTAGAGCAGCAGCTGATTGCAGTATTGGAAATGGCAGGTCTCTCTTTGAAGATGCAACAGTTGTCGATAAGTCGGGTCTCGGAAATTTTAACACGATTCAAGCTGCCATTGATTCCATTCCTCAGAACAACAATTTCTGGATCAAACTTGAGATTAATCCCGGTATCTATGAGTAATGTTTATGTCGCAAAGAAAATTTTTTGATGAGCTCGGAAGCTTTAGAATTATAGTAATGATAGTTAGTTTTGATTTCTAGAGAGCAGGTAACAATTCCGAAAAATAAGCCCTGCATTTTTCTTCAAGGACAATGCCGAGATGTCACAACAATTACATTTGACGCCCACCAGAAGACCGATACTAGTCCGACTTTCACCTCATTTGCAGACAATACCATTGTAAATGGTATTACCTTTAAGGTGACATTTTGATATATGAATAAAATGTGCGTACCAATTTAGCTTTATTTTGGATTAATCGAGTTGAATTTATATAGAACTCGTTCAACTATCCGTTGGGGTTGGTTGGATTCATACGAGACAAAGGCAAAGGGAGTAACACAAGTAGTTGCAGCAAGGGTCCTTGGTGAAAAGTCTGCATTCTATGATTGTGGGTTTTTGGGTTGCAAGATGCCTTGTGGGATGCAGAAGGTCGCCACTACTTTCACAATTGCTACATTCAACGTGGCATAGATTTCATCTTTGGAAGTGGTCAGTCTTCCTATGAGGTATGCTTTCTAGCACAATTATTCAATAAGGACTCCATTATCTCAAAATGGAACTTGGGGATGAAAATGTCTCATCTCGGAAATGTTAAGAACTAATACTATTTTTTCCAAACAGAATGTTATTAATAGTGAAAACAAAACTTAAAAATATATAGGAAAAGAAAATTTTATCAAATTCAGAATTAATTGAGAGTACATGCTTCGGTCATTCTAAAATACGGACATTATCTTTGCATTAGTTAGAAGTAATGATAATTTTAACAAAATTTACATATAACATCACATAAATTATCATTAAAATCTTATTTCATGTTATATAATTATATGTTTGTATCAACACTAATAATCAAAGTCCACACCTCCAAGTGATTTGTTGAAAATTTGTGTCGTTAGTTTGAGATTTTGCCAAATTGTTGTTACATAGATGGTATGATAGATGACGAATTGATAGGCACTTGTAGGATTGTGTGATATATGCAAGCGCGGGGTCATATTCTTCAGTAGTTTCTCATGGTTTTATAACAGCACAAGGCCGGCAATCTCGAGCGGATCCAAGCAGCTTCGTGTTCCGTGGAGGCACCATTTCCGGTGATCTTCAAGTATATTTGGGGAGAGCCTACAACCTTTATTCCCGAGTGATAGTCATCAATACAACCATGGATGCCAATGTAATTTGTCAAGGATGGGATTCCTGATCTTACCTTGGACAAGAGTAAGTCACCAAGGACAGCCTTTTTATGATTTTTAATTTTAATTTTTAAAAATAATATTGTATAATCTAAATTGCACAATACTTACATTTAAATAAAAATAAATTTTACAAATTTTATTTTACAGTTCAATAAAATTTAAACTATAAAATAAATACATTTTTGCAATATTTGTTAGCTAGTACAAATTCAATAATAATCATTCTAAGAAAATAATTAATATTTTAGGATGAATTTTACATATGTAGAGATTAACTATAAAGGATTAGGATCTGACGTTTCTCAGCGAGTTCCATGGGAAATGAAGCGTGGTTTCTCTGAGATTAAAATTTTTTTAACATCATTCTTCGTTAACATGGGCAGTTGGCTCCTAGAAATCTAAAATTCAGTCAGAGGAGAGTGTAGTTTGTAAAATCAAAAACTATGATTTGCTATGATTATGAAGAGAGTTGCTTCTTCTTCCTCTTCTTCTTCTTCTTATGACTTTTTCTATAATTAATAGATTGTAGGCTAGGAAGAAGTTACTTCTAACACTAGCATACGAAGATGTGTCTTTTTCATTTTTTCTTTTTTCTTTTTTTTTTTATTATTTATGGTAAGAATGTTTTTGAACTTTCACTATGATCGAAACTAATTCCTTCTTGAATAATTTTAAATGTGCATCTTTATATTGACTTGACGCATTTCCATATTAATTTGACATATTCAAGAAAATTAA